GAGATTGCACTTGTGTGTTGACAGCTTGGATGTGCTCTTGTTTACTTTCTGATTAGATCAAAATAAAAATATGTGCAGCTAGGCCTGTTTTAATCACTCTCAAGATATGCCAAGGCTTTTCCTCTTGGTGTCTGCTTTTCCAAAAGCCTGTTTTAGAATGTATGACTTACTCTTCAGGACAAACTTCTCTGTTTTGTGGCAGACTAAAATTTTAAGGTATCTGAATGATTTATGTGTATTTTTCCCCAATTTTGTTAAGTACTATGAAATTTATATTTAAAAGCTTTGCTCCCCAAACCCACCTTTCCTAGCAGTGCAGCTCAGGTATGCTTTTTCCCTTTGCCTCACTTGATGGGTCCCATGGGTTATATCCTCTATGGCTAAATCCCTTGCAGCTCAGCCGTCTTCTGGTGTTTTCACAGAACTGGGGCTTGGTCTCTCAAAACTTCCTGTAGAACCATAGCACTTCATTTGTGCCTTCCTGTTGTCTTTGTTGACGTTTTGTAGGCTCCCAAATTCTCTTGGAGTGGTTTCACTGTTACTTAATGTCATGCCAAGAAATCTGTCACTCACAGTGATAGGACTGATCCCTTTCTTGGGTACTGAATAGTGTCTGTTGCTGTAGTTTTATTTCTGGTATGTGTTCAGAAATGCTTAGCATACAGTTATGGGATTTTAATAGAAGAATAGGGAAGTCTGGTTTGTGAAGATGGGCAGTTTTATTTCCCATTACATTATCATTACGATGTTCCGATTATTGCAGTTAAATAGGCAGAGACATTTCAGTGTCTGAATCATGCCCTGAATCCAGCCTACAAATGACTGTCTGCACCATTCTTTACCTTTATTAGGCAGGTGGGGATTTTGTTTACTTTTTTTAAGGAAGTACTCTGAAATTTCCACCAGCAGAATTACTCAGATAAATGTGTGTTAAGTTTAGGTTTTTCAGAATGAAGTCATGAAAGGATTCAGTTACAATTAAATATTGTCTGCTATTTAAAGAGAGAACAAAATTCCTTTGCAAACATGAGATGAGTGCAGTCTATCTGCCTCATGCTGTGTCTGCAAAATCAGCAGGCACTATCAAAGACTTAGGAAATTACAAGGACTTTAGCTGAAAATATCAACCATTAGAAAAGTGCTAACCTTTGTTATGAGTATCTGACTTAATTCTCAGTTTTCTGCAAACCTTGTTACATCAAATCAATTTTTTTTTGTTTTTTAGTTTTTGCTGCACTTGAGATGGGATCTAAGTTTTTGCCCTCCCCATCTGCAAGAAGGTGGTTGAAGCATTGCAGCAGTAGCAGCAGTTTGCTACCAGGTTGCTCATAGACCCAAGAAGAACTGTCTCACTTGTCCTTCTCCCCAAGTATTGACCAAACAGCTGCTTGGACTGTTCACAAGCCCAGGAAAAAAAAAAAAAATCAGCTGTTTGGCAGTTGCATTTTGCCAGGCTGCCATTCCCTGCATCTCCAAGGAACAGTAGATGAATGGAATGTGCCTGAAGTCTGCTCTTTGAACCGTGCCTATCTTTAGCTTGGTATCCTGGCCATAGTTGTCCATATTTTGAGCCTCAGGCAAACATTTGGTAGTCAAGAATCAACAAAACAAACACAAAAGGAAAAAAATTATTTGCTTGTGATGTGACTAGTGATTTTTCTTTGATATGACTTTCTAAATGTGCTCTTTTAGAATTGCTAGGAGATATGGATAGATTAGTGAGAGAGCAAAGTAGTTTCCTTAAGAACTCTACAGGAAACTTCTGGATGTTGCTGTCTTTCCCACCTTCTTGGTTTTAGTGCCTTCTCAGCTTTTAAGTCCTCCTTTCTTCTCCTCTGTCAATGTAATACTACAGAGATTTAATGATAAATTGCAACTTCATCCCTTTTCATACATAGAGTTGTATAACTATCCTAATTAAACATGCGTATGGTAAAATTGCAAGCTAGAAAGAGCTGTCTGGGCTTGGATGATAGCAATTAAATGATTTATATTTACAGGCGTCAATATTTATCTTGTGCCTACCGTCTGTCCTAGTTTGTCGTCTATGGTTGAGTGTGTAGTTCATTGGCTTTAGTTAACATTCCAGCTTCTTTTTTCTGGACACTGTGTTCTTGGCTGAGGAGAGTATTGCTTTTCATAAGATTATATAGTAAGACCATATTCTAACTTTTACAAACACTGTTAGTCTTTCTGTGTTCACCCGAGTATTATTTTTCTGCTTAAGTTTCAGAAATGCAAGGTTTCAAGGTGTTTAAAATAAATGAGTCGGTGTCTCTTCCTGCCCCCGATTGTTCTTAAACAGGGAGCTCTTGCTAGAATTATTTACGGTGATGCCATGACAGAAATACAGATGAACCAAGTCTTGGTTTCTACAGGCACAATTTATTTTCCTTTTCTGCAGTTCTCCTTGGCTCTCACAGGGTCAGAAGCAGCAGTAGCACTTTGGCTGTTCCCAGTTGAGTCATTCGGAATGCAAATCACTTTGCAGTGTTGCTAGAGGTTCCCTTTGAGCTGAGCTTTATATAAAAGGCATGACAGATTGTCAGCTTTGTCACATTCCCTGGGCAGCAGGGACTAGGTAGAGGCTTCAGCTTTTGGTTCAGACAGAACTGGACTAGTACCGAGAGATCTTAGTCAGCTTTGCTTTGCAGATAACTGTAAACCAAGTCAGAATGCTACATTGAGTGCTTCTGACCGATATTTTGATACTAACATATTTCCTCGGTGCAAGTAAATACCTAGTGGGGAAGCTTAGCAGAACACGTGCTCTAGGGAGTACAGTACCCCTGCACCCTTCCCCACCTTTCTTCACTACCTGAACTAGATAGGAAGAACAGAAGTGAAGCCTAGGGAAAATATCAGGCAGTATAAATTATCTGCTTTTGATTGATCTTGCACCATCTGAGCTGCAGGGTTTTGGGGTTGCAGGAGCATGTGCTGCATCTACACACGGAATCTTGCAGGAAAAGTGGCTGTTGTCCCGTAATTAAGTGCTGCAAATCTAGGCAGGGACTCTCTTCCCAACTGGACAAATAAGAATCCAAGTAGATTTCCTCTGAAAATAAAGCGAGCAGTGGATTTTTACTCTGTTTCTGAGCTTTGCTGCCTATTGAATATCTTGGTTAGTTTGCATGAAACCAAACTTGGTACGCCTTGAACTGAAGTGTTTATGGAGAGCTGGACTGAAGTGGACCTTGTGTGAATCTGTGGTTAATTTTGGTTGCTATGCAAAGCTTTTGAGTTACTGTGACACTTGTTTCAAAAATACTCATTCAGAAGGAAACAGTGAACATTCTTTTCCTATTTAGACCCATGTTACTAGGGCAAGATGTGTATGTCTTTACCATTTCAATTTTAAATAAAGAAATGTTGAAATTTCTCAGGAAAAACAATTCTGGGACTGAAATTTTTTTAAATTATTGTGCAAATCTTAATTTCTGAGATTATCAGCTTTACTTTTTCTGAGTAGTTCTGTCAGCATAATCCACAACATCAATGTTAGGGAACTTGCCCTGAAAACTGAGGATTGTGACTATAAAAGTTACTATTTGGCGTGGTGAATGGAAAGAGTTATGACATAACATCTAAGACTGTTATACAACTCTCTTAAAGCTCTCATTTTGGAAAATTATGTAGCTGTCTGGGTCTGTCACGCTAACTTACTGTGTCCTTGGTTTCAAAGATCCTGCTCTTTTGGGCCTTCTACATAATTTTGTGGATACAATAACTTCTTAAAAATCAGATTTTGATTAAAAGACTTCGAACAAATTCCTTGTGTTAAAATAGGACCTCATGTTCTCTCTACACGGTGTCACACTAGGTTCTCTGTAACTTAAATCCACTCCAAATCCAGAATCTCGGTGCTGAAATTGCTTGCATTATACAGTTCCTCTCTGAGGTGATGTGAATTGGAGCAAGCAGGTGGAGCAACCAGATGAGCAGACTTTGCAGGCATTTTGAAAATAGGTCTTGAAGGGGGTTTTAGTATAGCAAGCAAATAGATCTGGATGAGTAAGATTGGCACTCAGAAGGGTTTTTTCTTTCTGGCTTTGGGTTTCCTGTAAACTTTGCTTTCTTTGAACTTAGATCAGAACTGTCCTGAGTTCAAGATCCTCTTTTATGGGGCCTCGGCTTTTAAAACATAGATGCTCTCTCTGCTCTGCAGGTGATTATGTTCTTTTTCAGTAAGTCTTGTGGTTTGATTTTCTTATCCTCATACCAATAATTTTCCCTTTGGGACAGGAGGTAGTTTAGAGGCAAGACACTACAAAAACCAGGTGGGCTACACATTCAGAACGGAACTGATGAAACAGACAACCTCTTTGCGATCTTATCAAGCGTGTCGTCATATGGGTGATAAAACCGGCACTGAAACTTCTGCCAAGTTTTTTTCCATTTCTCTTCTACTTTACAACCAGACTCACTTTACTTTCACTTCTGTCTGAAGTGATGTAGGTAGAAGTTTGGCTTTGTTGTTTCTGTGCTGGCATTGTGACTTACAGGTCCTTGACAACCTTGGTGGCGTGTAAAGGCCACATAACCAAGCAGGGGAACTTGCATAACACTCCAGAGCAACTTGTATGCAGCAGTGTGTATACTAAGACCACTCTAGCAATATCATTGAACTCATCTTTTAAATGTTTTTCTGCGAGTTGACTATTTAGGTATTCACAGCTTCAAATCTGGAACAAATGTACTTTTGAAAGCTAGTTCAGACTGCACACAGTAATTACGATGTGGGAAGTACTGTGTAACCACCGGTAGAGATCGGTTACTATGTGTGGAGCTGCAGACAGTTTGCATGTTAATGACCTAATTTCAAAATCTGGGTTTGAAGGACAAACTGTGAGTTAAGTCCCCAGTAACATGTTCCATGTGCCATAGATGGCTTAGATTAAAATCTCTAAGTTGTCAAATGGCATTGCATTTGGAAAATCTTGTGAGTGGCATGCCACATTAATTTTAAATGTAAGTTAAATCTTTTTCTCTTTTTATAGGAACTGGAGACATTGTTGCTGTCATGATTACAGAATCAAAGGTTAAGGAGATCCTGAATTACTTGGAAAAGAATATCTCTGTCCTGATGGCAATAGCAGTGGGGTCCCGTGTTCCTCCAAAAAACTTCAGTCGGGGCTCTCTTGTCTTTGTGTCAATTTCATTCATTGTTTTGATGATAATTTCTTCAGCATGGTTAATATTTTACTTCATCCAGAAGATCAGGTACACAAGTGCACGTGACAGGAATCAGGTAAGGGGACTGCCTTTTTTTTTTTCTCCTCTAAGTTCTGGAGGTGATATTTCTGTATACAGTAGTCAATAGAGAACAAATAATTTCGATGTCTGTCAAACCAGCGTTCAGAACTTCTTTGTTCCAATGCAGAGCACGTTGCCAGACAAGGATTTTTATATAGCAAACTGTTTTCATCCTGAGCAGCACCAGTACAAGGTCTTACTACGTGACAGGGAAGAATAGAACTGAAGCAAAATATTTGGGTTTCGATGACTGCAAGTCCAAGATAGAATCTATGTTGGAATAATAAATACTGTATATATGTTGGGAATGGGGGGGAAAGTTAAATTGTGAATGAACTTGTGTAGTGTAGGGGAACACAGAGCTAATGTTATGAATTCTTTCCATGTTCTTAAGGATAGTTTCAGTAGTAGTTAAGGTAATTCAAAAGTTGTATAAAGGTATTTCCAAACTATAATCTGTCATGAATGTTAGGGTAAGAAAACTACGGTAGAGAGCTGCTTAGTGATCTGTGTTAACTTTCAGCTTTATTCAAGATCACACTTAGTATGTACTGTGTAATTCTCCTGGTCATATATTTTAAGTAAAATTTTGTCCAATATACCTTTCTTAAATTCTTTTTCAGCTCTTAATTTAAGAACTGAATTAAGTATGGCCGTACTCGGAGATCTTGACTAAATCAAGTCAACTCAAATATGGATTAAACTTTAGAAGTAAATCTTTTACTAATGTGCACGTAATGACCCACTGCCTCCATAGTGTACCTTGGCTTTTATTGAGAAGGGTCAGCAAACCTCAGGAAATCCACTGTGCTCTCTTTGCCTTTGTATCTCTCGGTCAAAGCTAACTTACCGAGCTGCTGACCTCTAGTCACTGACCCCCCCTTTCCCCCAAATTACGGCTAATGCACAGGAGCTCACTGTGAGGCAGTGCTTTGGTGTTTTGTCAAACCTAAAACAAATGCAAACTTGTAAAGCCTCAGTTGTGACAAAGGATTTCCTTTAGTTTCTATAAATAGTGTCTGGTGCTGCGGGTCACGTGGCATCCTGTAGATTTTCCTAAGGATGTCATTCTTAAATGACCACACTGTAACCGGTACTTGGTGTGGTCCCTTGGGATGGTGAAAATTTAAATATAACTTACTCAATGAATGCCTGTGGAATATTAAATTGTGCCTTCTCAATCCCCTACATGGTTCTAGGCTTCTTCCAAATGTCCATGTTTCAGAACAGTTGCTCCATGGGGAAAGGACTCTTATGACCTTTTTTCTTTCTTTAGATTTTTACAAAGGTCAGGAGAAACTTGATGAAAATTTTATGTGGTTTAAAAAGCTGAGCTTATTAAATTTTAAGAAGGTGGTGACAGCTACAGCTTATTTTTAAAGAGCTTTGAGAGCTTTCACAGAGAGAAGGCTGTACTGGTAATGATAACTTGTTTTAGGCTATGATCTTGTTTTTAAGTTGTGTCAAGGCACACTTGTTTTTTAAAAAAAAAAAATCAAAAGTGTAAAAAACCATGCTGTGCCTTGTAGATAGTGGAAGTAGATACTGGTATTTCACATCATTACTCTTGCACGCTTCCGCCGGAGGAGTGAAACTCTTTTGCATGTGGTGGTAACCTTTTCCATCAAGACAGTTCTGGGTTTTAAAAGCAAACACATGCTGTATACCTATGCCCTAACATATCAAAATAGCAAATCCTCAGCATTTCCAATGTTAGCATAAAAAAGTATTTGTTAAAGTCAGAAAATGGAAGAGATGAAAGTTACTGTTCAGCAAATTTATTTACATAAGAGAACATGTATATATTTTGGAAGAGTTTTGATGAAATATTTTGCTTCCCATAGGAAAATAATATTTCTTTAAGATTTCTTGTTGTATGTATACAATTATATGCAGTACAACTAAATATAAATACTATGCACAGTTACTCTAGTTGGTAGTGTTGAGCATTTAAGTTAAATGCCTTTTCAGCCTTGTTCCTCTCTTAGTAATCACGCTTTTGGTTATGCAATGATTGTCTACTCCAGCAGTGTACCAGTGTGTTCTGTGTCATTATGTACTCAGGCCAATATGCTTGTTCCAGGACATGTAATTTAGATTTGGTTAAAATTACCAATTTCTCACATGTTGAAGTTAGGATGAGATTTCTGACTTCAGGAAGCATATAATTTCCCCATCCCAGCTCTGTTTCTGATGCTGCATTTCCTACATGGGTATGCTTCAGTAGTTAGGACTGAGTATCTGATTTATTATTTTTTTTCAGATCCATGCTATAAAAAAAAATAAGAGCTGTTCTTCTGTGGAAAGCACAAAAAAACGTGCTTATGCAATTCTAGAATAACAGTGGTAAAATTGGTTGTGGTAGACTTCTGAGGTCTTTGTGTTTCTCAGATAAAAGCAGCCTTCTTAGTTTCAGTTTGTATGCAGAGGAAGTGTAGGCTACAGGGGGGTACACCTTATGAAGGATTTGATTTTCAACTGTATAGAAGGTGGGCACAAAACCCACACATTTGTTTCAAGCTGTATGGGAGGTTTTCATAGGTGCAATTTACATTCTCAGAAACAACTGTTCTTTCAAAGGCAGAGTACTTAGTACAAGATGGAGGCGAAGGATGAAATACATGAACTTCCCTTTTACCAGTCAACGTAAACCAAATCTAATGTCTCAGGTTCCTGAAACAAGAAGACATGAGCTTTGTTCCACTTGGTGTCCTATGGGATCCCATGGACCAGCTGGCAAACAGCCATTCTTAGTTGGCTGGGAACTGGGCATTGCAGTAGGAATCGGCACTTGAATTGCAAAAATGGCTCCTTCTATCCAACAGCGGTGGTCATAAAAACAGCATATAGACAACAAAAAAATAGCTTGGCCTCTGCGTTCAAATTGAGGTTCATCTTCAAACCAGGATTCATTTCAGCTTTATTTAAGTCTGTATTGGCTTATTTAGATCTTGTGACCCATATTATTTTTTTTCTTTCTGGGATTCTGGTGGTTTCAGGTAATAGCAAGAGAGAAACTAGGTTACACTGAGAGGATCTCTTATGTCTCAGAATAAGATCAGTGTGCTCGGGGGTGGCAAAAAATAATAATTCAAGCTTTAAGAAGAGAACAAGGGGTATACTACAGCACACTGAATAAAAAGCAATATGAACAGAATATAACAGAAATCATCAGGAGGGCATGTTACTTCAGCTTTTATCCTGTGGGCTGGGTTTGATTAGTCTTGTCACACAAATGTTGGATCACTTTTGTGGAGTTTTATATGGTCCATGAGACTTATGCCCATGCTTATAGAATGTATTTGTGGGCTCAACTGTTGATTTTTTTTTTTAATTTTTTTTTTGGCTTCCTGACAAATCTGTGTGCTTTGCTGTGTATGCTTTTTGTCTAATGTGTTGGCCTACTGCCGTAGTGTGTATTGCAATGCTAGTATTGAGCTCAAATAAGTCGTCATAAAGGACAGTAATAAAACTTGATTATCAGAGTTAATTTGTGTTCTTTTCTCTGTCACTTTATTAGCGTCGCCTTGGAGATGCTGCCAAGAAGGCCATTGGTAAATTGACAACCAGGACAGTAAAGAAGGGTGATAAGGTATGATAATAAGATTTCAACCTGGTAAACTTGAGCATCGTGTTTAATTTTGGGTGGGGGGAAACAATCTCAGTTTTTCCTTTCTGCTTCTGATTTATGACCTTGCCTTCCTTGTTGGAGGCTTACTTTGTCCTGTGGCACAGTATTTTGTGTAACTGTTAGTATTGATATATGCGATAAGTCTGTACATTTCAAAGAAGTTTTTCTTGCTTAAATACTACTCATGCTTCATCTGGCACCTGTGACAGAGTGGTTTTGTGTGCTAGCTGGCTGGGGGCTTTTGCTGGTAGGAGTACATAGGGCTAGCATTGTCTATGTGGAATTCTGTAGGCTTAGAATCATTCTATATGTAAGTTGTGTAAAGTAAAAATAAATTTGAGAGAGAGACAATAAAGGACAATCTCTTATGTAAAATATGAATATCCAGTAATCTGAGGGGGAGTATAAACAGACAATTCATTAAGGATAGTAAATGTTACTTCTTGCCAGTATGAAAACTAAAATATATGGTGTGTTAAGTCATAAACTTTTCCTCCTTTTATGAGCACTACTGCTTTGTCTTTGATTCTGAAAGGAAAAAATAGTCACCTAACCTTGCTTAATTTTTGCTCTTTAATTTGCAAAAGGCAAGGGGATTGTGGCTATGATTTGATATTTTTTTTAAGAGAAGATTATTTCCTTGGGCCTTTTTAATGTGATTCCATTTTATCTTATCAACGCTATCAGCAATGGAAGATTAGGAAGTGATAGAAAAATTTGCTTCCAGAGAGAAGGCAGAGAAAATGCCTTTCTGCTCTTTCTCCCTCCCTATGTAGTTTTATTTCAAGACAGCCTACTGCACTAAATTTTTTGTGTGGGTATGGGAGTACATATAGATAACAGGAACTTTTCTGTATTAAAAGAAAAGAATGCTGTCTGTTGTCTTGACAACATAAATTCAAAACTGGGAAGTGAAGTGTAGGTTGCAGTGCAGACAGCATGAGATGCAGATACAGGTGAACAGAGAGTAGGAGAAAACCTGTCCTTCATCAGAGGAGCCCATTGGGATTCTCTGCGTGCAGCACTGACAGGTGCTGACCAGGGAGTGAGTGGCTGTTGTGCTGCTGTGGCTCCTCTCCCAGTGTCTTGGTAGTATCTTGCTAGCATCGAAAAGAATAGTGAACTTGAACTAAGAGAAGGCATAATCTGTTTTGTGTCACAGGCCCAGATATTTTAAATGCATGTTACTGATGCCATATCTACATGCAAATGAAGTAAGCCTTTTTCATTAGAAATTTTAAATTCTCATGTTTAAAAAAAAATATTTTTTTAAAATCATAACTTCAAAACAGAGAAAAGAGAGGAGCCAGTCGGTCAGTGATCCTCATCTTCATGTCTGGATGAGAATGATCATAATTCTGCAAGTAAGCAACAGATAAAAATACGGGGACTACTCTGAAATAGGTAAAATTTGCTAGTTCTGGCTATAAAAGGGAATCCCAGGATTCTTATCCTGCCGAAAAAAAAACCCTGAATAAAATAGAAGTTTTAGCTTCAAGCTGAAGTAAAGCCTCTAGGAAAATTGCCAGTATGTTTTATAGCGATTCAACTGAATATTAGAGTCATGTTAGGCCTTAGCTTATGTTTCAAATGATCATTTACCAGCTCCAAATGAGGGGAGAGTTTTATATGTATGAGATATATTCCAACATCACTTGAGAAGGAAAAGTAATAATCCTGTCATTGGTTTTGTATCTTCTTAGTAACAGCCACTTGGCACAATGCAGTTCATGTACTAGTCACAACTACTTTTACATTTGTCATAGCCTCAACTCTTGACTTGAATTTTCGTTCTTTTTAGGAAACAGACCCAGACTTTGATCATTGTGCTGTCTGCATTGAGAGTTACAAGCAGAACGATGTTGTTCGCATTTTACCATGCAAGTAAGCTAATAATGTTGCTTTGTTTGGAAACTATTCTTTCTTTGTGCTCCTTTGCTTCACTTCATGTAGTATGTGCATTGTAATTTACAGACACATTTGTTAGATGTTTCCAGTCCTAATAACAGCCACTTTATTTTAGGCTATGATACCAGAAGGTGTGAAGATGGGTGCTGGCATTGTTATGACAGTAGAGATTAAACAAAAAATTATGATCCTGAAGATGGGCAGTTTGGGCATATCAGTAGTGGAGCTATTAAGATTGTAAGGGTGGGGTGTGCAGATTTAAGGACCAAGTGGTGGGCAGACACAAAAAACTTAAGTATAATGAACCAGGTACAGCTGCAGCATTCTGTGCAGCAGATGTGCAATGTTGGCTGCTGGTTTATGAAATAGTGTAGGAAACAGAAATGCAGTCTTTCCAACTTTCATACCTCCTCTGACATCAATCAGCCACTGTGCTATCATCTGTCTTTGGTCTCCCCAGTGCAGTGTGTTCTTGGCTTGTGCCTGAAGGTTTGTACTTGCTGGATATTCTGCAGTGTTGCTTAAAATGTAACCACCTCTTCCTCTTGACATTTACAGGTTTTCAGTTTGTTTCCATTCTACTTCCATTCTTGAGTTGTTTAGGGGTATTTGTTCTTTGAGAGATGCTTTTAAGTGCTTTTCCACCTGGTGATTGGTTTTGATGAATTAGTACATTTTGATAGCCTTAAGCATTACCAAGAATATCTTTCCCTTGTATTCCAAAATGCAAAGCTTTCGCCTTACCTCCAGACACAAAAAACGCATGAAAGTTGTGTTGTATATATGCAGCCAAGATTAAGTAATTTGGCCTGTGCTCGGTATATAAATAGTGTTCTGCATGATACTCTAGAAGCAACAAAGTCATGGTGTTGGAGTCAATCTTCTGTCACGCAGCAGCAGTGCATAAGAGCTCATTATTGGTCTTCTAAATCCTCCTGCGGGCTGTTCTGAATAACTGGAATATCTTTCTTGTAATGCATAATGAATTTCTCACATCATAAAAGGAAAACAGTATTATTTTATACTGGTCAAAATATGTGTGGATTCTACTTCTGAAGCCAGAAGTTTAATTCAGTTTACTTTTCTGTTTACCTCTTTGTCACAAACAATGACCTGCTTTAGGTTCTCAGTAGTGTTGTTTGGTTAATATACCCTACAGATATTTTTTTTTTAGAAACTCCTATTAAAATATTTGGGAATAGAAGAGCTTGGTCTTAAATCTGTAAATATTTGGGAGCTTTTGGTCATGTCGATGTGTGTGCATTTCTTTTTTACAATTCCATCATTTTTACTCAAAGATGATGTCGTCCTGCCATAAAAAATGTACTCCCAAGTGTTAAGTAAAGATTCCAGAGGGTTATGTCCTATATTGTCATCTCAAGTAAAGCTTGCATATGGGAATTAAGCCCTAGTCTTTGATTTGTTATGTAGGAGATTATTTGGAAATTAGAGGAGGAACTTCTGGAAACTGCACACCAGTTTTGGACCACTAAGATGATTGATTGATACACTGCCTCTTAAGAAAGCTTCACTTGTGTAGTTCAGGGTGGTACTGAGAGGCTCAAGGATGTGGAATGAAGGTTCACAAATCCCACTCCTCTGTGCCTTTTCTCTTGACACTGAACAGAGGTCAGAGGGAAGTCCTTGCCAACGAAGAGAGAATGAGCCTTCATCTGGTAGGAAAGCATCTTCTCGCACTAAGCAAAAGGAAGAGTTGGGACTAAAAGTCAACTTCCTTAGTTAAACAACCACCGCTGTCCAAGAAGTGGATATGTTGCTGGTGTCAGCAGGTATGATACAGACCATTTAACCAGGATGATCATAGATTATTTTTTTTAATTAAAAAAAAATTATTCTTCTAAGTCCATTTCCTTCAGACACCTTTGAGCTGCAGTCCTGCAGAGAGTAAGTTCCCTGCTCTCGAGGTAGTTACAGCTGCTTCAGGGAGCTGGATGAAGGTGCACCTGACTGCTATCTCAGCACAACCTCCCCCAGTGCAATCTCCCATGTAAAGGAGATATCAAGGCTCTTGTGTAGATCCTTTTCTGTTCTGTTTTTCACAAGACTGTAAAGACACTGAAGGCTCAGATTACATTCCTGCCGAAGGCTGTATGACAACTTTTGTGTTCCCTTTCTACTTCTGTTTTTAAATCTCACTTTTCATCTGCTGCAGCTCAGCGTTGAATTGAGTGCAAAACTGTCTTGGCTAGATGGAAACATTGAGATAGATACTTTCCACAAGACATTTTTATATTTGTAGATGAAGAGCCAACCAGTATCTGCAGAGATGAGCCAAATAAATTTCAGATTGCATGTAAGATTTTCTAGTCTTCAGCATCTGAGATGCTTCTCCCCAAATCTTGTTTTGGACTTTTAATCACTTTCTACTTCCTGATACTTCAACCTCTCATTTTAGTGCAACATGCAAAATTAGTTTAAATAAATAAATAAAAACCCCTACAAGGGAGTCTTTCAGCCAGATGAGAAAATAAATTGCAAGAAAACTATGAGAAAAAGTCTTGACCAAGAGGAAGCAAATGAAAGGCTAGTAGTTTTTCTTACTGTGCCTGTTGAGGAAGCTATAATCATTAGACAGTAGGAATCACTGACATAAGACATCCTTGCTGCCTTCGTCAATTTAAAAGTAGCATTTCCCTTTGGTACCACAATTGTTCTCTGCAGTTAAGTGTGGTCTGTCCCTCTGTGCCTCAGCAGAGAGGAGTCTGGTCTGGGCTGACACACAGCAGGCAAAACTTACCATTAGCTGTGCAAGTTGCACCTAAAATTCTGTAGTGAAACACCATATTTGTGATGTGAAGTTTGTGGCAGATGGGAAACTGTGGCCGTTTAAAAAATAATCTAATGTGAAAATTATTGCAAACAATACAGTTGAATTTCCATCACTCATTCTGTGCTTCAGAGAGAAATATATTCAGTACCTGCAGCCTATGGACATAGCTATAGCTTTTAGTGTACAGAGGGATACGGCAGCTGTCTATCTTAGGCTTACAAGCCTGAGAATCTCTGTCTTTTGTGAATATCATTATGTAAGTTAAACAGAGTAAACAAATGTCAGAATGATTCTAGCAAAAGACAGACCTCATGGACAATTCTCTTCATTCAGATAGTTTTACTCTGCCATCACACCACTGTATCTTGAGATGAACAGGCATGAGGTGAAAAGTGATCAGGAGAGGGTAGTGTGAAGGACTAGTGAGAGATAAGGGAAGAAGAGAGCAAAGTGACAGGTTAGAGAAAAGCTGAGAGAGTGACCTTGGAAAGGGCAGAAAGATGGCCTGGGAAGGAAGGAATTTACAAGGTAGGAAGAGAATTAAAGGAGTAGTGAATATGTTAAAATAAATGGCTTGTGAGCCAAATTCTTAATTCCGTTACTGAGCAAGAAGGGGGAAAGTGAGAAAAGTGACTAAGGCAGATTTTCATCTGTTTGATCCTGTCCTGCTGCAAATAACTGTTTTGGTTTTTTTTTTTAAGAGCATATTAAGACAATATCTCAATGCTATCCTTTCTTCTTACTGCAATGCCTCTGCACAACCCCCATTTTCTCTGCTAGCTGCTTGAGAGGGCAATCTCTCTTCCCTTCCCACCCCCATCCCCAGCAATACTACGTATTTGTGGAAAGCACCAAGGCTGCTTTCCCCTGACATTGCCTGCTGCAGGGGGCAGATACGACACCTTCCTCCCCACCGCAGCAGGCCAGACATCTCTCCTCAGCTGTGCTAGCTGTAGAGGGCTGCCAGCAGCAGGGCAGGAAGGACCTGTGTGCTGCTTGCCAGCCCAGCTGGGAGGTTTGTACCCCAGGGTGAGAGGAGCAGCTACCTCCAGCAGTAGCCAAAGGTGCTACTTTGCAGTAGGACGTTGGTCAGGTCCTGTTGATGGGATGCTGCACTGAGAGCAGGGAAGTGTTGTGAGCTTTTGGGAAATAGCACTTGTAGACTCGTTCAAACCCTTCTCCTTGTGTGACATGCAAATTTGGAGGCATTACACCACCAAAAGAGGTTTCTAACTCGCTTTTTCTCTGTGAAATGCTGCAAAGAAGCTGTGTTGTACAACAGAGTCGACATTACAGTGTTTATTACAACTGGAGGGCAACTGGCTTGGGTATGCTGACAGAGTGGAAAAATACCTGCAGGTCGCCTGTTTGGAGTTATGCCCACATGGGAGACTCCTTCAGTGCTACCAACCTGGCTGCCAGCCGTGCTTCCTCCCGCCCCGAGGCTGGAGAAGCAGCAAAAGCTGTGTCACACTTGACTCCCTGGTGTGTGGCTCCTAGGGGAAAGTCATCAGCTGCTGTGACCTAGAGCAACTTGCTAGGAACTCTTTAGATTTATGGTCTTGGAAAATAAGTGACAGAAATATGAAGATGGTGAAGGTTTATGGTAGCAGAAAATGCAAGGGCTTACTTTGTCAGACTGAGTTTCTAAAATAATTCATGTGTTTACTGTCTTCATTGCTGTATAACTGCTTTTTAACTTTGGCAAGCAGAGAAATCCAGACAGAGCCTGAGCCGTGATGATGGTATCAGCAAGCTTTTTAAGGAGCGGATAAACTGCCTAAGTAGTAGGCAGAACCATGCTGATCTAAATCAATAAATAACCTTTGGAGATCTGCGCTTTTTTGAAACACGTTAATAAACATCCTTGAAGGTTTAGGTACTAAAAGCAAAGAATTAAGAGGTCACAAAAATAGTTGAGCTGTCTTGGTGCATTTGAACTATATCAAACTGCTAATGACTTTTTAAAATAGCTCATAATATTTAGTGGATGCATGTTGGCATCCATATCAGTTGCCTGCTTCACTTGATCTGAGTGCTTCCACAGCACTGATTAGCCGATAATGATATATTAAAGCTGTTTTCATACTTCAGTGGAGTCTTGTTGTCTGCTGTTTCCCAAAATACTAGATTTTCAGGTTTGTCCTACTATAAAAAAACAAACTTCAGAGACTTAAAGGAAACATAAGCAACTGAAAGCCATGATTTCCCTAACATCGGAAAATGGCATCTCTATATATTTCAGAAGATTTCAAACCATTTTCTGTCACTCACGATTTCAAAACATTGTTTCCTGTAGTTTTGTGAATAATAAAGAGTATGCATTAAGACCTAATAGTAATAGAAGTGAGTCTGTATTTTGTGCAATTATTTGAACAGTAAGCTCTATACATATCCTGTTTTCATGATTGCCATATTGCTAAAGGACAGACCAGCAAAGTGACTCGCTGAGATTCTGTAAGTTTCTATTCCTGTAGTATCTGGGATGTAGATAAGCAAAAGTTCTTTTGCTCCCTGTCCATCTTCTGTTGACTATATTATACTCTGTAAGTCTATGCATCTTTAGTTAGTACGGGTAAGATACATAATTGTAGCTGACTGGAACCTAATTGTGTTGATATACTTTAATCCCTCCATCAGTCTCAGTAGCCATAGACAAAACATAATTATATACTGTGTTTTTCCATGTTAGCAATTTCAGGAGGCCTTTCTTTCAGGCCACTTTCCAGAGATTTAAAGTAGTAACATGCCTCATTTGGTCTCTGGTTTTAAAATCCCAAGGGATAGGGAGCAAAGAAATCCCAGATCCCATGATGAGCTTACTGAGGCATACAGGAGCAAGTATAACCTGTGAAAGGAGGGGATGGAGAGCATCTCAACTTGATGCTGCCTTGGGGGCATGCATGATCTCTTACAGACCATGCTGGTGCCTCAAATAGATGGCAAGAACTCCTTGTTCTGCCACTGCCCCTTCACCTGCTGGTTTCAGAGCGCAGCTCTTCGCTGGCTGGGCAGCCCTTGTAATTGCTGATCTTTGTCATGATCACCAGTCTGTCGTGTTCGAGTGTGCCGGCTGTTACTGGCTTTTTGCTCTGCAGTCAGTGCCGCTGGACATGACAGATCAGGATTCATATCATAGGCAGTTACTCAGACTAGGTTATTCCGAGTACTTGCTAAAGCTCTGTTGTGTAGAAAGTCTAGTGATAGCCATTTCTGTCATGAACATGCTCTGAAACATTCTTTGCCTTTTGAAAACCAAAAGGACATTTCCTTTAATTCAGATACGTTGTTTTGGTCTCTGTGGTCCTTACTTGTTTTGTTGGTTTGTATCGATCCCAACACAGTTACACTTATATTCATGTATGAGACTAAGATTTTGTATGCAATGTAGGTGGCAATTCAGACTGTTCTCTATTGCAGAGTTCCCTGCTGTGAAAGCAGAAGTCCAGTTTGCCTTTTCCTCTTTGAAAGATTGTTCTTTTTTTTTAATGACCATTATATGATTATGGACATGTTTTGCTTCCTGATGTCAAGAAATACCAATTGTGGGAAAAGCCGCCTTTTCACTTAGATGGTTATAAAAGCCCTTTCAAAATCAAACATAAGTGTTTGGGTTGGTTGCACTGACTTTTGAATAAAATTGACTGCTGGTGGATCTGTGCACTTCCTACCCAATTTATGGACAGGTTCTACGAAGAAATTGAGATAAGACATTACACAAAGTTATGGGGAGGACTTGGCTACCCTAGTTATTCTGCCCATGTGCATACTCGTATCTGCAATAAAAGGGGAGGAAAAAAATCATCTTACTTTTAAGTGTTTCTTCTTAGTCGAGCTATTAGTAAAGGGTGGCAACAACAAGCAAGAGTTTTTGACTTTTTTCTTATTGCAATCAGCACAGAATACTTGCAATTCTAGAATTTGTTCTGCTGGCTTAAAAAAAGAAACTCTCTCAAAGTTTGCTAAAATAACTTTCATTGTATAAAATAGAATTGTTTGCAAATTATATACATGCCTTGTCTTTTCTTCTAGGCATGTTTTCCACAAAGCCTGTGTGGATCCATGGCTTAGTGAGCACTGTACATGTCCAATGTGTAAACTGAACATTTTGAAGGCACTGGGAATTGTGGTAAGTTGGCACTGTTGTGAGCTCTTCTTCTTCCCATGTCTGAGACAGAGAATGGGAGGAGTAATTGTAGAGGAGAAAGGGGGAAGGGTGTTCCAAATACCCTTACTCAGAAAGTGTTTGGGGTTTTTTACCAATTTCTTTGCTACTGATAGAGCTGATTTGTTATTGTTGCTGTTCCTTTCCGTGGTTGGTCATTGAGAATGTATTGTTACATTTGCATTTATAACAATTTCTTATCTACTGGAATCCTACTAGGTTCTCTCTAATCTTCCCTTTTCTCAACTTCTTTCAAACCGTCTGTTAATTTTACTCTGTAAATCTCGTGTTCTTGTTGTGGTCTCTGTAGACACTCTTAAATTTGTTTGCACATTAAAAGCCATGCCCTAGCTGAGGCCAGCAAGTTTTCCTCAAGCAGCTCATGGGATCCCTGAGGACTGCTTTTGTTGACCAGTTCACAAAGGGATAGAAGTGAAGAACCTCAAAGAGGATTTTTTTAATCTTTCCTGTATGAGGAAAAAATACAAAGTGGGAGCAATGCTCTTTTCAGAAGAAATTTCAGGAAGAAAGAGAAGAGCATATGAAGATACTGTCTAAAGCAGCTTTTGAATCAAACCAGTGAGAATAATCAAGCCTCCAGTTTCAGCTGTGTCAGTTGCAAATTTGCACATTTTCTAAGAAATAGTTGCATATATATTGAGGATGACCTGGTTTTGCAATTAATAACATACCTGCATTTTTAGAGGAGGGTACAGTAGCATTTGGTGCCTGTCATCATTGTTCATGGTGATAAACCATACAGGCATAGGCAATGGTACAAGCATATTTGATTCCCTCTCTTGAATCTTAATCCTTTTTTCGGCTTCTTCCTCCACCTCTTTAAGGTGGACTGGAGGAGCAGCTTTGGATAGACCTTGCTAATTCATGTGTTTCTCTCCTGTGTGATCTGAGGACAGGCATAGCGGCTGAATAAAGTATGTATGTGTGGCTTTCCTCAATTTATAAGCTTGCTCCATGTACAATATTCACTGTTGTAATGTGGAATTGCTTTTTTTTCTAGCCAAACGTGCCATGTACAGATAACGTAGCCTTTGACATGGAAAGGCTCACCAGAGGCCAGCCAGCTAGCAGGCGATCAGCGCTCGGCGATTTTGCCAATGACAGCTCTCTCAGCCTGGAGCCCCTGCGCACCTCTGGGATGTCACAGCTTCCACAGGACGGGGAGCTAACACCAAGGTCAGGAGAGATCAACATTGCTGTGACAAGTAAGTTTACTTTGGATTCCAGTACCTTTCTATGGTTTTCCTGGTATGTGACACTTGCTCTGCTGTAGCTCTGTGCTGCAGGGCCACAGTGAAAGATTTCCCTGCAGGGACAAAGGTGACCTCAGTACCTCTGTAAGAGGCATACGCTCCGTACTGAAACCAATTACTCTAGGTAGGACAGTGTCAACACTTTCATTATTAATGGTATATTCATTTAGATCTGCATGCAAAGAACACTGGATGAACTAAAATAGCAACAAAATAACCGTCCTGAATTTGGTAACCAGTCTGAGAATCTGGATTGCCAGAAACATTATTTACCCTTCTGAATACTTTACATGCAATTATTTATACAAATACAAATATTTTAACTGATTACTGTTTGTGCAGACCTTTTTTCCCCCTGAGAACATCACTACTGGAATTCTGACATCTCTTAGTAGATGGTTTTTACTTAGAAAATTTGTGAATTAACAAAAATAAAGTACTTGATGTACTAACATTTCAGTATTGTCCGAGTGTTGTATGACATCAGAAAACTGTTGCTGCACTGCTTGCAAGCTCTTATCTGTAAGAACAGCATGGGAAATTTCTACTCACTGGATTTTACCTAGGGTTTTTATGTATAATAACACTGTAATGAATACAATATGTGTGGAATTTCATCGTTTTTCCATATGCTGCACAGTCTCAATTTGATGCATGAACTGTTGTTTTTTTCTGGCTGAATTGCAAAAGTGGAACCCATGCAGTACAACAGTCTAATCTTCTCTTTGTATTTTGCTTATTTGCATCTGTGATCCAGATTTTGAACTTTATGACAATCTGCCACTAATATATGTATAAGAGGCAATGTAACAGATGCAGTCCACTAGAGTGTTTCTTTAGACGCTGTAGCAAAGTAAATACCTCGTTAAAAAAAATCTCATCTTATGAAATGCATAGTCCATATCCAGAAGCGTCCTGATCTGAGAAGGAAAAATCCACATACGAAATCTAGATTCTTTACAAAGCCAGGAAGTCACTTTGTCATACAGTGGTTGACATCTGATTCATCTTGTGTTCAGCTCTACTGAACACAGAGCAAATCTGTTGATGTGCTGCTTTCTTTGTCAGGGGTGGGAAAACTCTGGAGTTTAACTAAAACTTTTTACCAATTGGTTTTACAGAAGGTATTTTTCCTGTCTGTTTCCAACTGTAATACTACTCTTGCACAGATTTAATGGCAGGGTAAAACAGAAATAATCAGCAACAGTTCATTCTGACATTGTTTATAAAATAAATCTTTAGAAAAGACTGTTCAAATGTTTGGATTTTATGGTTGATATGTGCATTCTTTGATGCATGAGAGTTAAACCAAAAGCTATATTCAGCAAAAGTGTTTGTATTCCAGACTATTACTATATGCCAAATTAATCTTGAGGCGGGAGAACTTTGAATAGTGAATATTCTTTAGTAGCCTTTTTCATACTACTTCTTTTTTTAATGTGTCTGTATGCATACAGTAATGTTGAAATTATTTTTCCATGTTGTATTCTTGTCTATTAAATGGAAAACTCTAGTTATGTTTTACTGTTGAGAGGCGGGAAAACTTTGAATAGTGAATGTTCTTTAGTAGCCTTTTTCATACTACTTTTTTTATGTGTCTGTATGCATACACTAATGTTGAAATTATTTTTCCATGTTGTATTCTTGTCTATTAAATGGAAAACTCTAGTTATGTTTTACTGTTGAACAAGCAATCCTTTTTTTTTTTTTAAGTAACACTATAGCATTTATTCAGGAGGGAGGGGGCGAAGACACAAGTTAAGTGTGAAAGTATATTGGGTATGCTTATGTGAAGATCTGCATCTCAGCAAATCTAAACCAACCCTGACAGTCTTCCTTCTGACCTGGGGGTGGACAGAGTTTTCATTACATTTTCCCTTGTTCCTGCATTTCACTTTACATTGTTAATTAATCCTTCTTTATCACTAACCCTTGGGTTCAGCCAGGAAATATTGTTGTGCCATGCTTTTTTTCCACACCTCTCTCCACTTGTTCTTTGCTAGCCTTCTCCAGTCAGTAACTCTGTGGCTAACCTCCTTCTGCTTCACCTCCTGGTGCCAGTCATGGCTTAGAAGCCTCTTGCCTTCTGCCAGTGGTGTTTGAGGGAAATATTGGCATCGCTTTGACATAAGCCTTCTCCCACGAGTGATTTCCTCCCTTTCCTTTGTCAACAGAAGAATGGTTTATTATTGCCAGTTTTGGCCTCCTCAGTGCCCTTACACTCTGCTACATGATCATCAAAGCCACAGCTAGCTTGAATGCTAATGAGTAAGTAAATATTCAGATGTTTCTATATATTTCTGGTGGGTGTGTGTCACAGACAACATTGGGAACAAATACCAAGAGAACAGAGAAGGGGAAAAATGCCATTTTGAAGAATCAAATGCCTTTTCTGCTTTTCTCAAATGTAAGTCTCTGTTAACACTAGGTTCCAGGGTAACATGTAAAGTCCCTCTTAATTTATATTTAGCTGGGTTGTCCAAGGAAATCTCCTTGCTAAGTTGAAACATGGACCAGGGAAAAAAGAGAATATTTATATTCAGTTTTTGATCAATGGTCTAGGTAAACATTTTATTTCTGCCATTAAATCCCTATGTTCAAAATTTGCCTGTCAGAGCCAAAACTTACTACCATTAGTTACCTTTGACAGTTTTCACCACAATTTCATAGTCAAATTTAATTTAAAAAAAAAAATCTGTATTCCTCGTTGGCACACTTTCAGCTAAGAAAAAAGGTATTTAAATAGAAAACTCCCTTTTTGCTCTTAGGAGAGGGAGAGATGAAAGCAATGAATACACTACTGTTTCTTCTCTCAAGTGTAGAGAGCAGACCAGTCTTCTGACCTCTTGTTTTAGTCTGCTTAAGAATTGCAGTCAAAGAACTGCTTAAAGACATCCACGCTTTCTTAATTTTTATAAACACCACCAATGCCTCCCTTCAGACAGACTGGACAAGAAATTACTCTAGCACATGACTTTCAGTCTTTTTTTTTATAGTTCTATGTGTGGGCAAGTATAAATCTGTTCTGCAGATATATTAACTAGGTACATCTAGCTATTTTCATTTAAGTGTACAGAATATCTGGGCTCACGATACATATTTAATCATAATTTATTTATTCAGAGAGGGAAAGTGTCAGCATATTTCTTTGTCTCTGAACATCTTGACACAGCTGACTTTCCATTAATGTGTTGATCTCTTGCCAAAAGTGGGGTGAGATTCAAAGGCAGTCTCCTGTGCAGCCTGGAAATGTAGCTTTATAAACACATTTTTCATAAAAGATATGCTTTTTTTACTTTTATTGCTGTTTGAAAAGTATAAGGTGTCCTTCTCACCAAGATGGAAACATGTCTAGTAGGCCCCAGTGTAAAATTTTAGACAGCCTCAAGCTAACCTTCTTTAGGAGGGTCCATAATAAGTTCTTAGAGGTTTTGGTCATCAGGGACCTTTGATTACCAGTAATTTGCAAATCTTCCTTTCCTCCTTTTTTCAGATGTTAATTCCAGAAGGGCTTAATGGAGAAAAGTTTTAGGACTTCAAATAGCCTTATCAAGTCTCCTGGTTATTTTTTTTTTTCCATTTTGCCAGAATCTTGAAATTGCAACTATCAATCAGCAACTTGGCAACATAGCTGTAGCTGAACATAGTTAATCTGTACTGAAAAATAGCTTGGGAAAGCATGGAGCAAGATGAGTTGTGAAATGGGAATGTCTGCATTTCTGGGCATTTCCACATCATTAGGAGGAAGACAAAGGAATGTAGCCCATGTGGTATCATCCAGATGTGAGCACTGATAGCAGTTGCATTTCTGCCTTGCCTTGCAACTCTTTTTTTTTTTGTCTTTTGCTCAGTCCTCAGTTGGATCTGGGTCTATATTTACTGAAAGGACAAGCTCCTTCATGTTGGCAAGGAGTTAGGGCCTCCAGCAAAGTGTTTTCACAGTGATGTTCCCTTAGTACAAACAAAGGGCGTGCTGATACAAGGAGAGCTCCTTTCCCCAGTGATAGGAACAAATATGTGCAAGCGTAGCCAAGTGTATACTTTGAGGCAGACTGAAGAAAACTAGCAACCGCAGAAACCAGAGCTGTCAAAAATCACTTACTTGGGTAACTGAGGTACCTAGCTGTAGCCTTTAACCTCAACAGCTTTTCAGCTGAATCCTTTGGGACCCAGGCAGCGTCCACAAGTGCTGCTAGGTTCAACTACTCATTTTAGACAGTTTAAAATGTGTATATATGACATTAATGCTTAGATTTATTTTTTTATCGCCACCTTATGTTCCCCAGTGCCAGACAAAGCATTTCCTGTGCCGAATATCATGCCAAATATATGGCAGCTCCCTCTCGCTGCAATTTCCATTAAATGTTGTAACGGCATACCTGCTTTTTTTGCTGTTCTCCATATAAAAAGCAATGTTGGCATACCCTACATTTGTGATGGTAGTGTTTTAAGAAGAAGCTGAGGGGTAGTTCTTATCAGAAAACAACAGTAGCAAGAATGAGGCCATGTAATGTACTGATGCAGGTAAAGGTGCCAAATATTGTGCATTAAAACTCACCTAGAAACAGGTCCTGATCCTTTTTTTTTTCCTGTATCCTTGCTGCAGCTTAAACATTTATTTAGAGCAATAGTTCTGGAGTTGTGTGTGTATATACATATCTAACTCTGTGTGTGTGTATATATATGTTTATGTGTATGTATATATACACACACAGAGGCATTTTTAAATAGTTTCTGGTAAAAGTAAACATTGTCTAAGTGATAAGAAAATAAGAAGCCAGCTGCTTTCTCTTAGTCTCATAATATTCATGCACTATTACTATTAAATTATTTAGGTAATGATTTAAAGGAGCAAAAGAAGCACATTTTGCTTTGCTTCTTAGGGAACAGTCAGAAATTACTGTATAACTATTTTAAAGTCTAGAAAGCCCAGATGTTGGATAGCACCCCTTAGAGGAAGTTTTCAGTAGCAGATGGAGTTTCCTCAAAAGTTTGGAAGAGCTCAAACCTCTTGCTGTCCTGGCTGTTTTACTGGTAGATGTAAGAATGATGTAAGGAGTACAGACCTCTTTTAATGTTCTAGCCTTGTATAATTAGTCATTTCTCACTAACTTACTTTTACAGGATTTATTTTTTTTTTTTTAGTATTGGCAGTATTAACTTTAATATAAATATTTTGTTCCTTTTTTTTTTCTGCCCCACAGAGCAGAATGGTATTGAAGAAATGCTTTCCAGCCGATTGCCTTGGAGGGAGACACCTATTTTTATGCATCATTTATCGATCATGCAGCACAAGCAATTATTTAGTACATTCTATTTTTTCATAAAATTTGCTGATGCCAAAGCTTTGTATTAAGGAAAAAGTGAAGAAATAAAAAAAAACCTTTAATTATGAAATCTTGCTCTGTGAGAATTTTATTTTTCTCGGACTTTCTGTGTGAGTACTTAAGTCTGACAGCCTTTCATAAATTTTATAAAGTGCTTTACTTCCTTTGAATGATTTCATCTTTGCAGATCTGTATTCTTCTTTCATTTTGGGACACTCCAGCTAACAAGTGGATATCACACGCAGTGCCGTTCTTATGATGCCACCCCACAGTGGAATGACTAACAAGAGTATTATTAGCAATCACTCCATACCAACTTGTTAGGGAAAAAAGCTGGGCTGAGCGTTCTAGTATGTAATAGGCTTACCTTGACTCCAGCGGAGAATTAATTTGAAATAAGAACATTGTCTCCATTTCTCCTCCTCTAACACTCCTCTGTTGCACTGGGAGGGTTGCAGTATGATTTTTGTCTTCAGGTCAGGCATTGGTGAAGGTTTGCAACACTGTTGTCTGGACATACAAATCATAAACCTTTTCTGTCTTTTGCTTTCACCCCACCATTCTTTCTGATAAAAGTGAAGCAACTCTAAACCAATTCTTCCTTGCTAATACCAAGTGAAAAGGTAACATTTTCCTCCGCTGTCATCTATGAATCCTCCTTTCGTATTAGTGACAGGGGTTAGTTTTGTTCAAAATCAGATCATGAAAGGTTGATAATGGTCTTTAACGTAGAGACTCTATGCAAATATGTGCCGCCTTGTCATGGCTTTTTTACTGGTGAGGAGGCAGAGGGAAAACATCTCTCATTGCTGTCCTCGCTCAGGCTGTTTCACCCAAGTTTACTTATGCAAGCAGTGTATGAGTAAGTTCACAACAGTCAGTTAAAACATGAAGATCTGATTCACAGCCAAATGCTAATGCTTGAGTTAATGAGATGGGTAGGTGAAGGTAGCAAATCAGTAAGGAAAATATAATTGATAGAAGTCAAAACCTATTCACTATTTGGTTGGTTTTGTTGTTCTCATATCAAGATGTAGACATTTGAAATGTAATGCTTTCTAATTTAATTAAATGAACAGAGAGAACCAGTTTTACCATAAGATTTAATTTTTTTATGTACTGGGAAATAGAGGATTTAATTTAATTTTATTTTTATGTATAGGCACTTTTAGAATTTAGGAACACAGCCAGAGTCTACATTAAACTGGCTTCTTAATTCCTATCTGTCCAGCAGGCTTCAGCTGAGAAGGCAGCTTTTATAATAAGAAATGAAGTATGTGATAGCTTCACTACATTTAATAGAATTATTTTTCAGTGTGTCCTTGTGAAATTTTGAAAGAAACATGGAAACAAATCAATAGAGCAGTAAGTGTGTTTTAAAAAACTGGAAAACCCAATTGGACTTACTCATGAAGAGGAAAAAAACCGCAAACACACTGTGTCTAACAACTGTCCAATTGTAAAATAAAGTGTTTGTCAACTGACCGTTGTTGCCAAAACTGGAGGGATGTGGTTAGAGCATGATTTAGGGTGCAGGCTATGAAAAAAAAAAAGTGACTTTTTTTTTTACCTGTCTCTCAACAGCTATAGTAAACTGATAAGTTTGTGCTTGTCTCCTGAAATAAAAATCCTTAAGTGCTTCTTAACACTGGCAGGAGGGATGCACAGACAGCCTGAACAGCATGGTGACCCAGATGCAAAAGGCACCACAAACAGTTCCAGTTCATGTTTCTTCTACAGAAGAGCAGCAGAAGGAGAAGTTGAGCGCTACTGCAAACAAAATGGTTGGCAGGGTTTCTACTGCATTTCCCTCCCTAGAGGATTTAAATAACCCTGGGCCAACTTTTAAATCTTTTTTTTTGAGCCTCTAACGATTGTCTCACAGTGTTAACAAAAATACAGACAGTATCTGCTAGGTTAATTACAAGTCAGGCTAGAAATATAAGTTTATCCTGTTAGTGAAATAAATATATTCAAAGATGGACTCTGCAGCATCCCAGGAACTCAATTTTTTGACTCTGGATAGACACAAGATGGAAATTCCCAAAATTTTTCATAGAATCATAGAATCGTTTAGGT